CAAGTCAACTGTCAGGTCAAAGGTACCGCACCCAGGCCCTTGGTCGGATACACTCACTTGTTGTGCGCAGGTACCCAGACAGCATCAAGGCCACAGGGAATTCTGTTTCAGGCCAATCTGGGCCGTCGTTTGCGTTGAGATCTCGACGGCTGAGGGATGCAGCACCTGGGGTCCAGACCCCTGTCTCTTATACACATCTAGATGTGTATAAGACTCCATTCTACTCCTGAGGATGTTGCCAAACGGGTTGCATGTTCACTCTTTCATATTTTGCGCCTGCCGCGTTGTTGACGTCAACAGGAAATGCTCATCAACGTTGCGTCGGAATTAAATGTAGAGTTGATGACCTCATCTGAATCATCTTAATGGAGTCATGATGTTCGTTAATTCCCCAACGACCAATCCTTTCAAATGAGCCTTCTTCCACTGAAAGATGGTGAATGGAATGATTAAAATCATTGAACAATGTACGGCCATAGGTTTCATCGATTGTTTTTTCCACTTCTGTTTCTTCGTGCTCACCGTCATTATTAAGTATGAATTCAATTAATCCATCAACATACTATACACATTACTGTATCAACCTTTTTTAAATCTTCATCATCTTCTTCGAAACAAACGTTGAACTCTGTTGCAAACGATACACGTCATTCAACATATCGCTGCAACAACATTCTCCCTTTCCTCTCTCTCTCTCTCTCTCTCTCTGAATATGCAGAGAAAGAGGGGTGTTTCTCACTCGCCTCTGCTCTCGAGAGACGGAACTCGAATACCCAAGGGAGAGCCGGTCTCCACAACTACTCATTTTAGCAGAATACAGGATATCCATCTGATGGAACCTTCCGAGAAGAAACAAAAAAATCCATCTCTGCCATCACGAAAAGTCAGATTCGTTGACACGGAACAGGAAAAATTGAGATTCAGCCCCTTGCATCAGCCCCTTGCATCTCAAGGAATAAGATTCACACACACACACACACACACACACACACACACAGACCTGTCTCTTATACACATCTAGATGTGTATAAGAGACAGGAGAGAGAGAGAGAGAGAGAGAGAGAGAGAGAGAGAGAGAGAGAGAGCATGAGATCTGTAGATGCATACTTATATCGACCGCACTGAATGAAAGAGAAGAGAGAGAGAGAGAGAGAGAGAGAGAGAGAGAGAGAGAGCATGAGATCTGTAGATGCATACTTATATCGACCGCACTGAATATCTCATTGCGAGAGGCGGTTAACGGAGACCCTAATTTTCATACAACTTGTCATGCCATTTATAACAAAATCCAAAGGTCATTTTAACCAAACTTGCCACCAAGTCATAGAGTAGAGACCATAGTTACTAACTGCAAAAAAAGAAAAAAAGGAAAAAAAAAACCCCTATAAAACAGCAAGGCAAAAGTGCACTTTCATGCAAATTTCGCCAACATTCAGTTTCAAAAATCTTGACAAATTTCAGAAATCTTAGCAGAGGAAATGCCAATGCTCCAAATGAGACCAGATTTGGTATACAACAACCTTGAACCAAAACAAAAACAGGCAAAAAAAAAAAGAAAAAAAAAACATAAAACTTGACCCCCAAACCCTAATTTCAGTTTTGGACCTATTAGTCAGTAGCCGAAACTGGGGGTCCCCGCGTGTCCATGTGTGCGGGCGTAGCTGCACTGGCTTTACTTGTTGTGTCTTTATACTGTTTGGTCCGATTCATATCGTCTTGATGACGACTGTCCTTCAGTATCCCGACTGACTATCAAAGCGCCATATGTCTATGCCTTCCCCCCCCCCCAAAAAGGATGAATGGATCAGCGGCCAGTGGAAGGATGGCGGCGATTTGAAACCCCTTGGCGAAATAGAGTGAAAAGGGGAGGAAGACGAAGGTGAAAGGCAAAAAGGGAGCAGAAGATGGGGTGGGGTTCCAAAGGAGTCAGTTGTGGGTAGAAGGATGGGGTGATTTAAAACCCTTGGCACAGAGAGAGAGAGAGAGAGAGAGAGAGAGAGAGAGCAGGTTATGGAGGTGAAAAGGAGGTGAATACAAAGGTGGAAGGTTTCTACATCTACATCTACATCTACAGTGCTATAAAAACTCCTAAAAGTCATATCGCACGGCCCGAATTGCAGGCCCGTCACCACCGCGGACGGCGCGGAAAGTTTTCTGATCGGCCTGCGATCTGGGCCGTCCGCGGTGGTGACCGGCCAGCGATTCCGGCCGTGCGATATCGGTTTGTACCGGTTGCTACCGGAAGCGCCGAATTGCAGGCCCGCCCGGTTATTTTCTCCGCGGTCCACCCCCAACGACCCTGCCGCCAACATTTTTTGTTGGTTTTCGGTGAATTCGTGGAAGGGTTTTTGTGGGCGGCCGGCACTCGACGCACTTACGGCCACTCCCGCGCCTACTCCCGCGCCTACCCGCGCCTACTCCCGACCCTGCTTTCGCCTACTCGCTCCCACTTGCTCGGCCTGCTTAGTCCCGCCTGTACTCTCTCTCTCTCTCTCTCTCTCTCTCCCCCGCCCTTCCGCTTTGGTGCTTCGTAGTATGTGGTCGTGCATCGGTGGTTTGCGGTTCGTGAATTCGGTGCTTGGTGCTTCCGTGAAGCACCGTGGATTCTGTGCTTCATGCTTCGTGCTTCGTGGATTCGGTGTTTGGAGCGTCGTGAATTCGGTGCTTGGGGCATCATGGGTTCGTGGTGACTTCGGTGCATGGTGCTGCGCGCTTCATGGTATGGTTCGTGAATCATTGGTCCACCATGCAACTTGGTGCTCCGCGCTCCTTGCTTACACTGCTTAGTGCTTTAGTTCTTCGTATCGTACTTTGTGAGTGCTTTGGTGCTTTCGTGAATCGGTGCGGCGTGGATCGGTGGTTCGCCCGTGGATCGTGAGTTCCTGCTGAGCACCAGAGGCACCATCACCATCCCTCCTCCCTCGGCTCGTCCTCCATTCCTGCCTCGACCCTCTCTCCTCCCTCCCTCACCCCTGCCCCATCGGCCCTCCCTCCTTCCTCCCTTTCTCCTTCCTTCTTCCCCCCCTCGGCTTCTCCCTCCTTCCTCTGGTGGCGTTACCTTCCTCGGCCCTCCGTCCTCCCTTGCTTCGTGCTCCCTTATCTGGGGACGGGGGACGATATAGAGAGTGCATTCCGGTTTTCTTAGCTTTCTCAATTTGCGTTAAGGCTTCGCGCCAAATTGTTTTTTTTTCAATGTGAAATAAGGGCGAGCGTGTGCTCTCGCGCGTGCGGTTGCACACAGACGCACACAGCGAGGGGTGTGGATGTGAAGAGAGAGAGAGAGAGAGAG